AGCCTGCCTCCCCGAGCCCCAGGGCAGCCACTCAGCCCCAGGTGCCTTCACCACAGCCAGCCTGTGTCAGGGCCCCCATTCAGCACGTGCATGGGGACCCAATTCAGGCCATGCACCTGATTTTGTGTGGATGCTTCCCAGCCCAGCCCACCCGAGCATGCAGGGAGACTTCGATCCAGTGGGGAATGTGTTCCTGCTCCGTGCTCACCATTTCAGAACAAACTTTGAGCTGAGCTACAGCTTTCACATTGATTCCCTTCCAGTCTTGTGAATGAATTAGTCTGTGATTTTTTATTTTTTCCCATTTATGGCTGACCCTTTTGGATTGATGAGGCCATGTGGGAGGAATGATGTATTTCACACGTACCTCTGGCATGGCAATAAATCTCCCCCACTGACGCCCCGCAGATTTGTGGTGAATCCGATGACTCCCCGGCTCCCCGGCTCCCCGGCTCCCCACCACATGGCTGGTGCTGACATGGGGTGTGGTGTGATGGTGGCTGCACTCACACCCGGAACCAGAGTGACTCCCTGGGAGCCTGGCAGGTGCCTCCTGTCACTGGCTGATGGCAGGTGCCCTTGAAGGGGGCTGTTTGTGAGGAATGGAGGAAAACCCATGCTGGGGCTTCCAAGGACAGTGGAGCTGGAGGGGGCCAGAGCCCTCAGGTTACTCTGACTGCAGGAGAAAAAGCCACTCTGCCTGGGGTGTAAACACAGTTAATCTCCCAGCAGGATGTAGATGGAGTGGAGGGCTTTGGCATTCAGATATATTGACCTGGCGAGATGACAGTCCAAGGTTCCTCCCCTTCAAGGTCTCCTGACATACTTGCCTGGGCTCTGATTTGCCATCACTGCTTGGGCCAATAAATCCTGATACCAGCCTCCAGAGAAGTCATTATCTTTCATAGAAAATGATTATTTCTCAGTTAAACCCTACATTTGATTTTCCCGTCATCTGTCTTTTTCAGCTTCCCAGCTTAACGGTTCCCTCCTGCATAAAATGCCCATGAACTCGTCTGCAAGTGCTCCGAGTCCCAAATCATCAGACAAACTTTACGAGTCCTTTTGATCCCTGGCCCCGGGTGGCCATCACAGCCACCATCATAAAACACACGTGAAGGGCAGGAGGCCCTCTATGAAGGTGGTGGCCGCATACTCTCCTGGGGATCTGGGAGCACTCACTCACTGCCCATGTGGAATGGGGTCCCTGTGGTTCATCTTCTCTGCCCCAGGGTCGAGCCTGGCCATTTCATGTCCAGCAAAGCCAAGCTCAGAAGTCATCCTTTTCCTGGCTCCCCAGCCAGCTTTGGGGTCCTGGGAGAGTGTCGGCAGGTCCCACAGCAAGTCCATGGGCCTTGTCCCGTCCACCCACTGCCTGGCAGCGTCACAGCAGGGGGCAGAGGATGGGATCACACCCCTCCATCGGCCCTTCCCTGGGGCTCCCTGCCCCTGCTTGCTGTAGCTGGTGCAGCACGGCCTGTGCTGGTGCTGAGAGCCACCTGTGCTCTGAGGTTGCCTGGGCCCTGCTCCACCTCTCACCAGGGGTCTGGCAGGGAGCCCCTGCCCCCAGACGTGTCTCCACGTCCACAGTCTCTGGAAGGTGGCCACCACCTCCTCATGGTGTCCTAGTGAGGACACATGGGATTGTTCCCGCCAGGCACTGTCTCCAGCATGCACCCAGTGCTCAGGGGCTGGTGCAGGTGTGCGGAACTCCTCCCCAGAATTTTTCCCGGAACGGGTGGTGGTATTAAGCAGCAGACCCCTCCATGCTCAAGGGGGAGACAGAGATAGCAGGGCCAGTCCCGGAGCCAGAGCAGCTGAAGTCTGTCTGGCCTCATCTCCGCTCTCCCCATGTGAAAAGCAAGCAGGCTGAGAGCTGGGGTCCTGCCTTTGTCTCCTACACGAGTGTCAGAATGGGCCCTCCTGGGTGCTGGGAGCCATGTGGACCTGAGACCCTCCCCTCTGTCACATACGTACCTGGCGCCCTTCACCTCACATAGGAGTCAGCCCTCTGAGCCTCAGTTTCCTCCTCTGTAAAACAGTAATACCAACACTTGTTCCACAATGGGCAGGCCTGTGCAAACCTGCCCCAAAGAGGCTCCTCTCAGAGGAGGCTCTGTGCAAACCTGCCCCAAACCTCCTCTCAGAGGAGGCTGAGAGGCAGAAGAAAGAGGCTGACAGGTGCAGTTTCTGGGGAAGAAACATTTAGTAGGGACTTAGTAACAGAAGCCACATCTGTGTCTCTGGAGGCATAGACAGATGGGGGGTCCCATCACCACCCCAGGCCCAGGGCTTACCTGCCATTGGGGAGGCTGGTTCAGAAGGATGTGCAGGAACCTGAAGTAGATGGCATCAGGGTTCTTTGCCCTGAGGGCACTCGCTCTACACAGGCAACAACAGATCAACTGGAAATCGTGGGGGCCTTCCCAGAATCAGGCTCATCAGGAGCCAACCCAGCAGGTGAGGTCCAAGACAGAGCTGCCTCCGCCTGCACAGCGCCTCACTCCATCGGGTCTGATGTGATCTCCCCACATTTTGATCCTTTGAAGCCAGCGCTGTCTCTCTCAGGGCATCCGAAAATGAGCACCGGCCATGTGTTTTCACGCTCAGTGGCACGCAGGCTAACCGTGCCTGCAGTCACCTGGCCTTAGCCACAGCCCGTGTGGACACCCTTCCTGCAGGTTGAGGGGCAGATTTCACGCGGGCTTTGGGCAGGACCTGACTCGGCACAGAGAGCTCTTGACTAGACTCCAAGATTCCATCCCAACCCCTTCCCCTCTCCTGCCCTGCCTTGGCCTGGAGAAAATCTGGTTGTTTTGGGGTGTGGCCTCTAGGTGCTGGGCTGAGCTTGGTCCCATGGGTGGCACCATTTCATTGAGCAGGTTTGGGGTGAGGTGTTGCCCTGACATTCTGAATGTGCCCCTCCCGTTGGGCTCTCCCCATCCTCTGTCTCAGCTGGGTCAGGCTCTTCTCCACTCCTGGGTCTCTGCACACGCTCTGTCCCCTGCCTCCTCACCACTGCTCCTTCTGGAGGCCTAGGGCTGAGTGTGTGGCCCTCCCCTCTGTCCCGCAGCCGCCCTGGGGGAGTGCAAGCAGCCTCAACAAACCCTCTGAGCTCCAGACTCGACTCCCCTTCCAAATCCCAACCTGACACCTCCCTTAGGGGCTGAAAAGTCCACTAACATGTAACAGGTCCGAAGGGAACTCCTGGCATCCTTCCCCGGCATTGCTCTTCTGCCTCGCCACTGCAGGCTTCTGTCTTGGCCGTGAGCAGTCACCTTCCTCCAGTTGCTTTGCCCCAAACTCTCTTGAGGTGACATCCTCTGTCTCCACCCAGGCTCAGTCGACCCTTCGGACAGCACTGCCACTCACCCCTCCCCTGAGTCCTGCTAGCTGGTGGATGGAGGCGGCGGCCCTTCCCAGGTCCCCTGCTTCCCCTCCTACCTGGGTCCCTGCACCCATCCTCCCATGGCTGCCCCCACATTCAGCATCAAGGATGCCCATATCAGTGTAAATGTATTTTACGTTCAAATAACAACATTTACTTATTTATAAGTTAATCACGAGGTGAACTAGAACGTGAGAATCTGAACTTCCAGCCGCTGAATGGCCACAGCCCGCTGGGACCAGCTCCAACATGAGAATCTGAACTTCCAGCCGCTGGACAGCCACGGCCCGCTGGGACCAGCTCCTCCTCCCTTTCTTTTTTGTTATGGGTACACAGTTCAGAGAAAATCTTGACATGTGTAAAAATTAGAAATAGCAACTAAAAAACCAGGTTTCCTGTTCAATGATGTAAAAAAGTCATACGATTTCATTTCTAAACCTTGAAGCTGCGTTCAACTAGAACACCCTAAAAAGCAGCATGTAAGGTATCTGACTTGGAGTGGGTGTTGGCTGCATTTTCTAAGCACTCAAACCTCAAATTAAAAAGTCGAGGTTGGGCCAGGCACGGCAGCTCACGCCTGTAATCCCGGCACTTTGGGAGGCCAAGGCAGGTGGATGGATCATAAAGTCAAGTGTTCGAGACCAGCCTGGCCAACAGTGAAACCCCGTCTCTACTGAAAATACAAAAAATTAGCCAGGTGTGGTGGCAAGTGCCTGTAATCCCAGCTACTGGGGGAGGCTGAGGCAGAAGAATCGCTTGAACCTGGGAGGTGGAGGTTTCGGTGAGCTGAGAGCCCACCACTGCACTGTCGCTCAGGCGACAGTACGGGTGACTCCGTCTCAAAAAAAAAAAAAAAATGTCGAGGTTGGGTTGCAGACCCTCTCTCTGAAGCCCCGGGTGGGGTTGCCAGGTAAAAGAAAGAACGCTGGGATAGTTTTTTTATGTCTAAGAATGTCTTATAGGTCGGGTGCAGTGGCTCATGCCTGTAATCCCAGCCCTTTGGGAGGCCGAGGCCGGCAGATCACGAGGACAGGAGTTCGAGACCAGCCTGACCAACATGGTGAAACTCCCTCCCTACTAAAAATACTAAAATTAGCCGGGCATGGTGGTGCGTGCCTGTAATCCCAACTACTCGGGAGGCTGAGGCAGGGGAATTGTTTGAACCCGGGAGGCGGAGGTTGCAGTGAGCTGAGATCGCGCCACTGCACTCCAGCCTGGGCCACAGAGTGAGACTCCGTCTCAAAAAAAGAAAAAGAATGTCTTGTTAATTTGCATTTCCGGTATGGCACAGACCTAGGCTGAAAAACCGACTCGCTGTTTGTCTGAATTCACACTGAACCTGGCTTCGTGCACTTCCTTTTGCTAAACCTGGCGACCCTGGCCCGGCTCAAGGAGAGGGTCTGCCGGACGCGCGGCTAAGCGGGGCGGGGAATGGGCGGAGCCTGCCGCGCATGGGCGGGGCCAGGCGTCACCAGACTCTTGGGGAGGGGCTGCCACTCATGGGCAGGGCGGGGCTAGATGCGTGGGGGCAGGGAGAGGGCAGGTCCTGACGTGCGGGGGCGGGACGGGACGGAACCGGGCGCGCGGGGGCGGGGCCGGGCGCGCCGGCGCAAGCGACGGTGATTGCCAGGGTGAAAGTTCAGCGCGCCGGCGGCACTTCCAACATGGCGGCGTCCGGAGCGGCGGTGGCGCGCTGCCCGCGAGTCGGAGCGGGTCCTGCGCCGGGAGCCCGACGTTCGCCCCCGCCGCGGGCCGCAGGGCTGCCGCGGCTGCTAGTACTGCTGGCGGCTGCAACGGCAGGGCCGGGCACGGGCGGTGCGGCGCGGTTGTATCGCGCGGGCGAGGACGCCGTGTGGGTGCTGGACAGCGGCAGCGTGCGCGGGGCCACCGCCAACAGCTCGGCCGCGTGGCTCGTGCAGTTCTACTCGTCGTGGTGTGGCCACTGCGTCGGCTACGCGCCCACCTGGCGGGCCCTGGCCGGGGACGTGCGAGGTGAGGCGCACCCCCGCGCGGGGACCCCCGACCCCTGGGACCGCGGCCTCCGAGGACCCCCTGCGACAGCCCCAGAAGGCGGGTGCCTCGGCCCCTCTCAGGCCCCGTTTTTCCTTACTGCAGGGCCAGCTTCACAGGCACCCCACTCGGACCATCCCTGGCCTTTGCAGGGGCAGGGGACTAAGCCAGCTGCTCCCCACGTCTCCTCCAAGTAATCCCCGGTTAGATTCTGGCCAGTTGGGCTGTCTGAATTCAAAATGAAACCATTCTCCCGCCGCCCTCACCGCACGCTTGGGGATTGGGAAGCCCTCCTGTATCCCAGCTCTCAAAATTCCTGTTTTGAGCCCCAAGAACTTCATTGGCCTGCCAGGCCTCCTACCGTAGCGGTTTCCTGCCGTCCACACACCCCATCCCCAGTTATTCCACTTCAGTGCCTAGAATTCCTGTTGTCTGAGGATCCCTCATCTTATTCCACACTTGTCGACACCCCTTTGCCTTAAACCTTCATCATTCTCTTTCTGATTCGGATAGCTGGCCCTACAGTGGGTGCTCAAAGTGAACCCACAACTTAGCAATCCGAATACTCTAGAGGCTTCTCTATAAAACCCCAAAACAACCTACAAAGCATTTTTTTTTTAACTCTTCGAAACATTTTATTGGTGGGTTCCTTATTTACAGATGCACAGCCTTTGAGAAATTTTTCGCCAAGCTACTGGCTTTGCACTTTTTTCTTGAGTGCTTTCATGTGGTCGCACATTGTTAATCAGTCACGAAGTTGCTCTCCTGCTCTACAGGTCAGGGTTGGCGTGGGAGCGGGCAGTCACAGCACCCTTTCCTTACAATGGTATTTAAATCACTGAAGTAGGAGCTCCTCCCAACCGGAGTGAGGTCTGGCAGGACTTCCTGTGTGTGCTAACCTCCAATTATGTGTTTCAGTGGGCAAGAGCTGTAACAAATTGCTACTCTTTATTCTAGCACCTTTGTTTTCTATGTCTTATACCTAGTCTTGCTGTATTTTTCTCATATCCAAACAGGTTTGTAAAGAAACTTTTTTTTTCAAGTCTAAATAGGGCTTTTGTATGTCATTGTAAATGGTTATCTTGTGAAAATTCATTCTCCTCTTATCTCAGGGTGCTAGGGCCTTTTGATTCTAATGGATTGCTTCTCTTTGATCTCATGTTTTCTTATGACCCTGTTGACCTGACTCAGAATAGAGGTCAGAGACTGGAATAGATGGACAGAGAAACTAACTCTTCAGTGGGCTTTTTAGACTCTGCTTTTGGGGAAACAAACCCACAAGTAATTCAGTAATCACGTAGAGAACTCCTCATTTCTAATGTGTTATTCAGTGGTGGAAACAGATATGTTCTTTAAAATGCAGGTGGCCCTTGCAGGGCTTTGTCACCTTTTTTTGTGGGTTTTGGTTTTGATTTTGTTTTTCCGTTGAGTATCTGAGGTCTAAAGATCGTAACCAGATTCCGATATTGCAGATTCTGTAGCTGAAGCAGCACATAGGGAGCCTTGAGAACTGTCCCCAGAGCTCAGAAGGAAGGTCACTCCTGACAGCCACACAGTAACGTCCCTACCCAAGGGTGTGTTAGCTTGCCTCAGTAAGGCTCCTTTAGAGGGGCTGTCTTCCCAGTCACAGCAGGAAGACAGGCTTGGCCTGAGACTGAGACTGGAGGAGGATATGGCTGAAAGTGAAAGACAGCGGCAGCCTGGCCAGGCAGCAGGGAGAGGGTCCTCTTGGCTAAAAAGCCAAAGTATAAAATATTAAAAGAGGTTTGTTCTGAGCCAGTGAGTGGCCATGACCTGGGGAACAGTGTCAAGAGGTCCTGAGGAAGTGTGCTCCAGGCAGTCACGTTAATTTCATATTCTACATTGTAGGGAGACAGAAGTTACAGGCAAAGAGACAAATCAGTCCATGTAAGGTGTAGGAAGGGGTGGGTTTTACAGATTGCAGGTGGATTCTGATTGGCAGTTGGTTGAAGGAGTTAAGCTTTGTCTAAAGACTTGAAGTCAACAGAGAGAAATGCTTGGGTTAAGCTAACTGGGCTGTGGAGGCCAAGGTTAGGTAGATGAAGCCTCACAGGTAGCAGCCTTGAGGAGAACAGAGGGTGAATGTCTGTTTTCAGACCTTGACACTGTCAGATTCATTAAATGTCTCCTAGATTGAGGAAAGACCTAGAAAGGGAGGGAGATTCTCTGCAGATGCAAATCTCCCCACAAAAGACAGCTTTGCAGGACCGTTCCAAATATGTCAAGATAATACGTGTATTTTGGGGTGAATGCTTTTGATTTCCTTCCGGGTTTGCTGTGTGTCATGTGGTGCTGTACCTGAGTCAGACTGGAGTTTGGTGGTGTTGCTGCCAACCTGGGTTGTCTGTCTGATCTGTTTCACTCATGCTGGTCAGCTGTGCCTAAACTTCAAAGGGAGGTGGTATAACTGGGCGTGTCTGACCTCCCTTCCCATCAGGGCCTGGAATTTGTTTTTTCAGATTGCTCTGGGGTCCCCTTGCCCAAGAGGGGGTTCTATTCAGACAGTTAGGGGACTCAGGATTTCATATTTGGTTGACAGTCCTGAGAGCCAGGCTGTGCCCAGAGTCTTGTGGGAGGCAGAGGCCGGGTAGAAAGGGGCGAAGAGCCCTCAGCACTGAGGAGACCCCAGAGCTGTTCTAAGGCTGTGGCTCTCAAGTGGGGCCGCTGGGGGACTTGTTAGAAATTCCTGCTTCTCTACAGCCCCAGGCCAGACCTGCCAGGTCAGAACTGTCTGCTTGGTGCCGGGCTCCCTGTCCATCATCCCTACATTGAGCTGTCCCAAGGGATAAGGTGCCTGTGACCCGTGGCAGTGCAGGGGTCTGGTGGCAGGCACTTATTTCCGTTGTCACCACTGTGGCCCTGGTCAGTCACCTGTGACTTAGGTCATCCTGCTGATCCCTGAGGGTACACAGGCCATGGCTAGGGCCCCCCCTTTGACCTAGAGGGTCCAGCTCCAGGCCCTGGTGCCTCATCTTCCATCACAAATCCAGCAGCCATCGCTGCCAGGGAGATCTTCAGGAACACAGCAAGGTTTTGTTCTGCAAAGTAGCCAGCTCCCCCTACCTGCCCCGCTGGCCAGCACCTGCAAAGTAGCCGGCTTCCCCCACCTGCCCTGCTGGCGTGCACCCACCACACCCTGTGGTTTCCATGCCTGTGGCTGCTGGAGAGGGTGGTCAGGTATGGGCTCTGCTCCCTGGGAGCCTCCAGCTGGAAGGAACAGGACAGGCCAGGGCTGCTCCTAGAGGCCTGCTCCCCACAGCTTCGGGCATCTTTCTTTTCCTCAAAGATTTGGATTGAACTTTAGCTCTTGACTGGCTTTCTCAAGGTTGAGAAAATAAGTGTTTTTCCTAATAAGAAAGTGGCTTAACAAACAAAAGGTGACTGTTTGGTGAGACCAAATGTCATCCTAGTGTTTGTGATTTGACTGAAGTCTGTCACTCCTTAGTGCTGTGCAAAACAGAACTTTGCTGTGTTGCTGCAGATGTGCCCGGCAGTCATGGCTGCTGGATTTGTCATGGATGATGAAGCACTGGAGCCTGGGGCTACACGTTGGCCTGTCTGACCAGTGAAATCTCTGAAATAACTCTACAGAGACTTGAGTAGATGAGAGTGTGTACCCTAAAGGCAGGGCTTTCGTCCCCATGCGCCCTCTGTGTCCCTGGCACCTGCTACCTCCCATCTCCTTCACTCGGTCAGCCTGAAAAAGCAGGACAGACCCTTGGCCACTGGCCCTGGGATTCCTGGGGAGGGGTCCAAGGGGAGCAGGAGCCCTGCGAGCCACCCCCGACAACAGGCCGGGTTCTTCCAGCCCTGTCTTGCAGGAGTTAGCATGTTGCAGGCGTTAGCTCGTGAGTTTGCAGCACTAGTTACCATCACGTAGCTGAGTGACAGGCTGGGATGGGTGTCCCAGCATGGTGACCCTGGAGCCCTGACAGTTCATTCCTGTGTCTTTGTGGAGGACGGGTGGGGTTTGGGAGCTGGGTGCATCCTGTCTCCTGCCATTGCTGCCAGCTCCTCTGTCCCACTTGGTCTGGCTTCTTGTCCACTCAACGAGGCTGCAGGCTTCTTGGAGATGACTTAGAACTTGATGTTCCTGACAGGCCCATTATCTGTTCACTGGAAGAAGAAACAGGAAGGGCCGGAGGGAGGGGACATGCAGGTGTCAGCGGGCATCTGGCAGGGCTGATCGCCTGTGAGTGCTGCTGAGTGCTCACTGGACTCTCGAGGATGGAGAGGGTGGAGGGAGGAAGAGTGGGGCAGTGGCAGCCTCCTGTCTCCTTATAGGCCCAGGAATGGCCTAACAGCCCCGCTGTGGCGACCACATGGGTATTTTACAGAAAGGGTGATGCGTCAGAGCTGCCAGAGCTCCGCGCTGGCCTCCCTAGTGACTGTGGTTGGTGCATCTGAGACTCTACCAGGAGACCTGGGCCGCTTACTTGTTGTTGAAGTAAGACAGGGGATGGTTTGCTGAGAGGGCCTCACAGCCACGTCCAGGGAACCGTCTCCATTGTGTGAGGCTGGGCTCACGCCATGGCGTGACCCCGGTCACAAGCATTGCCTGGGCTTCCCTGACTGAGGGCAGCTCAAGGGACTGTCATTCCTTCCTGAGACATAAACAGCATTGGAATTGCTGTCACCCTGGAGCACCCTTCGAGGCTGAAGACCCTATAGTTTTGGTTTAACAGAATTGAGCTAAACACTGGGGCTCCAGAGTCCACGGGACCCAGCCCTGCCCTCAGTCCCCAGATGAGGTGACCGGAGTGTGGGTCTGGGTTTTCTCAGAACAGCCGTTGGCAGCTTGTAGGTGATTTGTATTAGGCTCTCCTGGTTGCTAGGTGAGTTATTCCAAACTTGTGACTTGAATTTGGTGCTTAGCTAAGAAGAACTTTGCTCAGCCAAGAGGGGGCTCCACTCAGAGAGGTCTTCTCCGGGTACTGGTGTGCAGGGTTCGAGATCCCAAC